ATAAATAAATGAAATAATAGTTTGAATCGTAATCGTAATCTCTTGAATTATGTCTCGCTATGCTATTATAGTATTCATCTAATGGAACGCTGAGATATCTATTATTAGTATTCATCTTATGGAAACGCTGAGAGTTATATTATTAGTATTCATCTAATGGAAACTCCAAGATATCTATATGTAGTATTCATCTTATGGAAACGCTGAAAGTTATATTATTAGTATTCATCTAATGGAAACTTCAAGATATCTATATTTAGTATTCATCTAATGGATACGTTGAGATTTCTATTAGTAGTATTCATATGATGGAAACGTCATGATTCCTATCATTAGTATTCATCTAATGGAGACTCTGTGATTCCTATTATTAGTATTCATCTTATGGACACGTTGTGATTTCTATTATTAGTATTCATCTAACAGAAACTTCATTATTCCTATTATTAGTATTCATATAATAGAAACGTTATGATTTCTATTATTAGTATTCATATTATGGAAACGTCATGATTTCTATCATTAGTATTCATCTAATGGAAACTCTATAATTCCTATTATTAGTATTCATCTAATGGAAATGTCATAATTTCTATTGTTAGTATTCATCTAATGGAAATGTCATGATTTCTTTTAGTTGTATTCATTTATGGAAACGTTATGATTTCTATTATTAGTATTCATTTAATGGAACTCCATGATTCCTATTATTAGTATTCATATTATGGACATGTTGTGATTTCTATTATTAGTATTCATCTAACAGAAACTTTATGATTCCTATTATTAGTATTCATCTAATGGAAATTATATGATTTCTATTAGTAGTATTCATCAAATGGAAACGTCACGATTTCTATTAGTTGTATTCATTTATAGAAACGTTATGATTTCTATTAGTTGTATTCATTTAATGGAAACTCTACGATTCCTATTGTTAGTATTAATATTATAGACACGTTATGATTTCTATTAGTAGTATTCATGTAATAGAAACTTCATGATTTCTATTATTAGTATTCATCTAATAGAAACGTTGTGATTTCTATTAGTTGTATTCATTTATAGAAATGTTATGATCTCTATTAGTAGTATTCATCTAATGGAAATTTTGTGATTCTTATTATTAGTATTCATCTAATGGAAACGGCATGATTTCTATAATTGTATTCATCTAATGGAAACGGCATGATTTCTATTAGTTGTATTCATTTATTGAAACGTTATAATTTCTATTATTAGTATTCATCTAATAGAACTATTGAGATTTCTATTATTAGTATTCATCTAATGGAATGTTCATGATTGCTATAATTAGTATTTATCTAATGGAAACGTCACGATTTCTATTATTAGTATTCATTTATGGAAACGTTATGATTTCTATTAGAAGTATTCATATAATGGAAACGTCGTGATCTATTACTAGTATTCATCTAATGGAAACGTGGTGAGTTCTATTATTAGTATTCATCTAATAGAAACTCTGAGAATTCTATTATTAGTATTCATCTAATGGAAACTCCGTGATTCCTATTATTAGTATTTATCTAATGGAAACGCTGAGATTTCTATTATTAATAATTTAAAATCATTTTAGGCTTAATAAAATAACAATATATTAAAAAACAATATACAGTTCTAAATTCATATTCGTTGGAACGATGAGATCTAACATGCCTATGGCTCAATTTATAGCATTCGAAGATTTAGAAGTAATAATTTTTTTTTTTTTTTAATTATGAAAATTTTAATTCATAACATTCACGAGATCATATATGTTTTTTTTAAATAATAGCCCGGGTATTATGGGCCAAGAGGACTCGATATAATAGCTTTAAAATTACTAAATATGTTCATATCAACGAATATTATAACAAAAGAATCATGCTCTCCGCAAACGCGAAGTCAATATCTTTTTAATGTTTTGGTTCCCGAAACCACAATTCGATTAATAATAGAAGATTATCATTGCGATTACGAAGAAGCAAAAAAAATAATGAGTCAAAGCGTTGAATATGGAAGAGAAACGAATCCACTTGATAATGAAAATGACAACGATGAAAATGACGATGAAAATGATGACGATGTTAATGTTTTGGTTCCTAAAACTACAATTCAATTAATAATGGAAGATTATCATTGTGATTACGAAGAAGCAAAAAAAAGAATGAGTCAAAGCTTTGAATATGGAAGAGAAACGAATCCACTTGATAGTGAAAATAACGATGTTTTTTAAATTTTAAAGTCATATTCAAATTTTCATTTTAAAATAATAAACATAATTGCTATTCATTACTATTCAAAAAAATTCATTATATATATATTAGTTGTCTTATTATATGTGATACAAAAACCTGACATACTTAAATTAACTCTAACTGCTTTTTGCTACTTGTTCAATGGATCAATCTATCTAGAGAATTTAAAACATAACTACTTAAGTACTTTGATCTACCCAGAGAATTTTAAATATTAGAAACTATTTCTAGTGCTTCGATCTCTAATGCTTCGATCTATTCTGAAAATTTTAAGGCGTTTAAAAAGTACATAATAATAAATACTATATTTTAGGGGAATTTTGGTAGAATTTTATGAAGTTTCTAATTCAAGCCTCAAATACCACAATAATTTTTTTTTTTGGTGCTTATATGATCTTGTTTAAATTTTAAGTCATAACTGATTTGGTATGCTACGTAGGTAGATTTTAATTTCTTGTTATTTTCATCGCCTATACAATAATTGCACCAAACTACAGGAACCTGAAATCGGGACCTATCGGGACCTTATATCTAATATATATTGTATAATAAAAAAACACCTATTTATCTTAAGGCTGGACCCAAACTCTAATTAAAACTATATAGGTGTTATATAACATGGGTGTTATGAATATAATATTTCTTAAAAAAAATATAAACTCGATTTTTTATTACTAGATATTAGCACACATTAACTAAAATTTTTATACGTATAACTAAGAATTTATTTTGATAGTACTTTCTAATATAAAAAGTTTTCTAAAAAAAGTTACAATGTATTTCGTTCTACTAATCTTTTTTTAAATGATATATATATTAACTCCTTACTATAGATTTCATTCAGCATAGATTCAAATATTGGCAAAATTTCAATTCAGAAATTTAGCAATTTACCTTAATTAAGATAATAATTTAGGCCTTCTTCAAAATTTATAACGGCATCATCTGTGTCATTAGGCATAGAAAATTTCTTAAATTCTCCATCGGAAATTGTATTTAAAAAAAGGTTAAAATCCTCTTCATTCATGAGCTCAAAGAATCTGGGCATTGCTTTTGCCTTGGAGAG